GCTGCTATATCAGGAGCTGACTCCGTTTCCAGGACGCTCGCAGAGTAACATGTACCGCTACTGTGTCACGGTGACATACAGTATGTGTGCAGCTGATGATTGAAGTGGCTTTATATCAGGGCAAAATTAAGGAGATAACAGCTGCTTTAATGATAACGTCTCACCGTCAGTGAAGTGTGTGATTCACAAACAGGGCTAAAAGCCCAGGGTCAACACTTTTCTGAACATTTTTAGGTTGGACTACATTCTCTATCACATTCATTATCTTTCAGTTTTGTTCATGGCCACGTTGCCTTGATGAGTGAAACCCACATTTCTCACAGTGAAAAGCAGAAAGTATTTGTTTGAGGGATGAAAAATGTCCTAGAACGTTCAGTTAGAACAGGGGTCTCCAATGCGTCACTTGTGAGCTACCAGTATAGCCCTTTCCCTGTAGCTTCCCAATGGGCTGATGAATCGTACGTACATTTTGAAAACAAACCCTACTGACTGCTCAGGAAGAACTGGAAAAAACACAACAAAATGTGCCACGGAACCATAATCCCCAGAGGAACACGGAACATTTCAGGTATAATGTTGGTAATAACACAAAAAATAACTAGACATGGCCCAATACAATATTATTTATATTTTGCCATTTTGTTTTAATGTATTTTTGTCTTTTTTTATGTACAATAAAGTTTAAAGTTTAATAATAGCAAATTCCCAAACCAATAATTGTTTTGAATAATTGTAACTTCAGTATGAATCAAAATAATTTTGATTATGATTTTTGCCATAATAAAGCCCCTTAGACCTTCCTCTGTTCCTCCATAAATTTTTCACAAAATGTTTTTTTTTAGTCAATTTTTGGAAAAACAGTATATGGTGGGGGTTTTTTGGAGGGGGGGTAGTGCAAATTTTATACACCATGTGTATATAACCTGAGAGTAAAGAAAAGATCAAAAATTAATCAAAAGTGTAAAATTGTACTAATTTTATTATTTTGATAATTCAATAAGATAATTAGTCTTTTAACTAATGAATCGCGGGTTTAATAGTCGTCTCTTGTGCGTTTTTAAATGTTAACCAAATACGCTGTTTTTATTTTAAATTTGATTTTCTGCAGAATATCGCCGTCTAGTGGCCAGCACAACCGACTACTCGATAAGTGTTTGGCAATCAGATATAGATATAAACGCAGCATTCACGCTTTGTGGTAGCGAACTTAGCTTTAGCTTTATTTACACGGATATTAAACAGTAGCAAGCATTATTAAAGGTTGAGATATAAACTTCTTTGAATCAGTAGTTTCATTATTCATTGATTTATTTTCGTTTATTCGTTTAATTCCATTTTCTTCCATTGGAAGGTATCTATTTTATTCATGTTCCACAAGCAAAACACTATATCAACCTGGCAGCCATTTTACTTAATATCCCTTTTTAATAAATAATTGTACGTTAACATTCTATTGTCTTAAAAAGTCAATAATACTTGGCAAAACCTGGTTTCATTTAAATCAAGGGTTGAATTTCCCTTCCCTGCTCATTTTGTGTACTCGCCCCCTGGGGACGAAAAATCAGAACGCACTACGTTTAAACACTCGCTTTGTAGTGAAAAATATTTTTTTCACAAAGTTACTAAAACGTTCAAACATGTGAAAAAGTTTCATGAATTTATATCGTTATTTTATTTTTTTAAATTCGCTTTTCTTCTGTCGAAAGGTATCTATTTTCTTCATTTTCCACAAGGGCAGTTTAGCGTAGGGACACATTTCATAGGTTGTATGCTCAAATCAAATCAACATCTTCCCGCCAAAATGTGCGGCCCAATGTTGAGTGTGGCTTCGTGTTTGAGTCACTAGAGGGCGAAAACCTATGAGTCGGACCTCGTTGTTGGCGGAGCTAAACCGAACAACCGACCGCATTACAAGACAAGATTTCATCATAAAATGTGTTCCTACGCTAAACTGCCCTTGTGGAAAATGAAGAAAATAGATACCTTTCGACAGAAGAAAAGCGAATTTAAAAAAATAAAATAACGATATAAATTCATGAAACTTTTTCACATGTTTGAACGTTTTAGTAACTTTGTGAAAAAAATATTTTTCACTACAAAGCGAGTGTTTAAACGTAGTGCGTTCTGATTTTTCGTCCCCAGGTGGCGAGTACACAAAATGAGCAGGGAAGGGAAATTCAACCCTTGATTTAAATGAAACCAGGTTTTGCCAAGTGTTATTGACTTTTTTCAGACAATGATTGACCGCATTACCAGACAGGATTTAATCATAAAATGTGTCCCTACGCTTAACTGCCCTTGTGAAACATGAAGAAAATAGATACGTTCGATAGAAGAAAAGCGAATTAACCTAATAAACGAAGATAAAATAATGATGAATAATGATAACACTGATTCAAAGAAGTTTATATCTCAACCTGTAATAATGTTTGCTACTGTTTAATATCCGTATAACTAAAGCTAAAGCTAAGTTCGCTACCACACTGCGTTTAGTGTATATCTGTCAGGATAATTGCCAAACACCTTTACAGTGCAGTCCGTTGTGCTGGCCAGCAGCCGGCGATATTCTACATTGGGCACATTTTATAACCTGTTTAAAATAAAGACGATAAATGAAAAGTTTAAAAGGTGATCATTTATAGCTGTGTGTGTTTGTGTGTGACACAGAGCTAAGGTGTGTGGAGGAGAGCGAGGAGCTGTTGGTGAACGTTGCTGCCACCATCAACAATCTGTCCTTCTACCAGGAGCACAGCTCTGTGATCAGACATAATCAGCTCTCCATCACAAAGTGTAAGATTTGATTTTATTCTATTTTTAATGTTTTTAATCATGGTTAATGTCACACTAATGGCAATATTACCTGTTTATTTTTTAACTGTAGTGCTGTTGAAGTTGATGCTCAGCTCCAGTTCCACTGCCCTGCTGGAGGCCACACGGGTGTATGGAAACATGTCACTGTCTAAGGAAGTGCGGGACTTTATTATGGAAAACAGAGGTATGTTATGGACACAAACAGGAATAGAACTCATGTCCAACGTTTTAAAGGTATATGTCTATTTATATTGTTTTTGGTGCTAAAGTTGGCAAAGACGGTGTGATAACTGGAGAACAAACATATAAGGACTGAACTAAACATCTAGGCCATTTTCTCAAGGGTGGGGGGGGGGTGCTCGACAATTGGCATCTACAAAAGGGGGGTGCTGCAGATAAAGTTTGGAACACCATGTTATAAGATGTTTGGGCTGCACTTATCTCCAAGGCCAGCTGCAGTGTAGTGTAAAGCTGCCCTGTGACTCTGCTGACAGCAGCCTTTCATTACCTTTGTCCTGCTTCATCCTCATCGCCTCTGTCCCTCCATCGTTCTGCTCCGTTCTCTCTCCTCCCCAGTGCACAGGTTTGTGGTGACCCTGCTGGACTCCAGAAGCACCGAGGTGTGTTTTTCGGCCTGCGGAGTTCTCACCAACCTGGCCATGGACCCTCCAAACAGACACAGCCTCTCAGTGGAGGGGGCGCCATCCAAGTAAGGGCTCAGGAGGTCGTCTGCTAAAAATCTAGAAAAGTCAGAAACAAGTATTGTTGCCATGTATCCCATACAGAAACTTCCAAACCAGTTTAGCACAAGTTTAGCAATTAGCAAACAGTGACAAAAATGCCAAACTAACAGAGCAGCATTTTCACTTCTCCAATTACTGTCAGCCGGAGAGAGAAAACGATCTTTAGCGAAATGTGATTTTTATTCTGGACAATCAGTGAAGAACAATGACCGCTCCAGTGTGAGGAATGAACAGCCAATCATCTCAGCTTTGATCTGTTTTGATTTGAGTTAAAAAAAGACTGGATTTTTTCCAAAATGTCCAGGTTTTTGACATGTGGACACACAAAGGTTAATGGCATTATCCTCTTTATACAGTGTAAGCTTATGGCTTCAAAAGGTGGATGTTCACTGAACAATGAACTGCTTAGTTCGTGGTTACCACACACACACACACACACACACACACACACAGAGAGAGAGTCTTCTTTCATGTAGGTTTAGTGAAGTAGAGCTAATGCTCACAAATCTGCCCGTCATGTGAATCCCGTGTGTGTGTGTGTGTGTGTGTGTGTGGTCAGGCTGCTGGACTGTCTCAGAGACTTCGGACCAGCTGACTGGCAGTTGGCAGGGCAGGTCTGTCAGGCGCTGTGGAACCTGATCACTGGTGGTTCAGAGGAGCTGCTGGACAACCGGGAGAGAAACTCTCTGCTGGAGACCCTGACCACATACTTAGGTCTGTTTTATCACTAATCCATTAAAATCCAGAGTTGGAGCTCTTCAGCTCTTCATCACATGAGTGACCTCTCAGAGGTCACAGCTCTCTGGGTCAATGTGAAAGAGTGGAATCATGATAAAAACTCACACCTTGACGTCGTCCTCACTGCTCTTTTTTCCTTAGTTAAAGACAAGGTGCTGCATTGTGCAAATAATGAACACCTGAGGGACTACCACATGGCATGCTGGGAGTTGGAGTTCCAAGCCGTGGCTCAGAAGTTGATTAGGGCACTTGAGTCAAAAGAACAGACGGACTGAGATGGACCGGGACGTGGAGAGGAGACTGGTCAGAACAGGATCAACAGTTGGCTTCATCTCAGTCATTTGAAATGTTGATGCTGTTTGCTTAGAACATTACATGGTGGAAATGTTACTAATAACTTTCAGAGCTAAACAAAAACTCAGATGTATTTCTCTATATTTGGTTGTCTTTTGAATTAACATCTATGCACCTTATCTCTTCTTCTCTTCCTTTTGTTTCCTCTTCAGTTGCTCAGGGATCATGTCAGCGTTTTTGCACTTTGACAATGTGAATGTGTTTTGTAAGAACGCTAACTGTTTTATGGAGAACAGATGACTAACCTGGAACTGACCTCATGGGCAGATCTTTTATTGTGTGACTATTGTGACACTGGAGCTTGACTGACGTACAATAAAGGAGAGGGAAGAAAAAAAAGAAAAAACACATGCGTTTGCTTCTCAAAGCCTTTATTATGACACAGATACGGGGCCAGGCAGTGCTTACAAGTTACACCAAGTTGCCTAAAGTACAGTATTTATTCAAATCACATTGTTATAACATCAAAACAAATGACCGGCACTTAATGCAAAATTGAAAGATGTCTGTTCCCCACAGATCTCACATGAATGTAGAACAACCACAATATAAAATCCAAACATTGTTCTCCACAGAATCTCTCAGCTTGATATGAAAGGCTGTTGGCTGAGCGATAACACCAAAAACTGTTGTGAGCGTGAAGGCAGTTTGGTCAGTGGGGGCAACGCTGAGTTTCTGCTGGTGATTGTGTTCCGACAGACAGTGGTCTCAGGTTCAGATGTTGACCAGCCTCAAAAGGCAAATCATCAGGGATTTGACCCAGAGAGGTGAGGAGAACGGATCACTCTCTCTCGTCCCGTTGAATTGTTTTTCCATAGAGAACCTTTGACCTGTTAAGCTTATAGAGTAAAAGCAAACTTCCTGGACCTCACTGATACTAAAAACAAAAAACAAAAAAATCCACCTGAGTCCAGCTTTGATTTTGAAATCCAGACGTGAGTCAAACCTCACATCTCTGATGAATCATCCTTTTTGCATAAAACGAATTTGCTTAATACAAGTTACAGCGGCTTACGCAGCGTGCTGCCTGCACTTGTGCAACTGAGCAGTGGAAGTGAGTCGATAGAAACACTGATTGTGCTGTTGACTGTTGATTCCTCTCGTCTGATATAATCTGCATTAAAAGCCACGAAAATCAAACTACTCAGGAGAAAACTACGAAGGGTACACAACGATTCAATACCATAGTTTATTTTTTTTGTCAATTTTTTTTCCATTTACTTCCATATAAAAAGTGTCAGTAACTGACATCAGTCAGAATGTCTGAGAAAAAACAAACCTCCACTTCCTCTCAAAACCACCTGCAAATGTACCATTCCTTAATGATCATCATCATCATCATCACGCTCCTCCTGCACCATCACTCATCTGTCTGCTTCTCTTCTCACAAACTCAGAAGAATGCAGTTTTTACAGGTTTTAGTAAACAAAAACAAAATAGCAGAGTTTTTTTTCATACCTCTGTTCATAATAAAAATGAAACAAAAAGATGCTTCTGCAGTTGTTAGACTTCCCCGGCAGGGAAAAAAGCACAGCTACAACCTTTTGCGTTCGAGAGATTATCGAACGCAGTCGGCACCATGAGGGCCGGCCGGATCTCCCAGTGAGGGAAACACGGCAGCCCCAGAAACAGAGAGTCTCTGCTCCATAAAAGAGCACTTCTCGTATGTTTTTACATTGAAAAACAAAAAACTGAAGAGGTATTCATTCACTGGTAAAATTCACAATCCAAAGCTTTGAAACTGTTAGGGCCACCAGGCAGCTGGGATAAGCGGAAGACAGATAAAGTGTGGTTTAGAGCAAACCGGAAGCAAATCCCTCCTGGAAAACCTGGTTTTTCTAACTTTCTTTTTAAAGATTTTTTTTGTCTTTTTCCAAAAACAGAAAACAAGATCGTCATCAACATTTACAAATGATAAAACAGTTATTTCACTATAACAGAGCTACAGCAGAAGCAAGAAGTCTTTCCTTCAAAGTGCCTCGCTACATTTTTTTGACACATGAAATCTAAAGACGTACTATAAAGATTTTCTTTTCCTCTGTCATGTGTGAAACATACACACTCACATACTGTACACACACACACCACAGAGAGACATCCACACCTCAGTCACTGTGAACACAAAAGTCATCCACGCACACCCACACGTGTACAGTCAAACTCAAAAAGGGCTCAGTGTTCTTTGAGTTTTTCTCTACAGGTTTCACACATTCCTCGGGTTAGCTTACATTGACGTTTTAAGATTTTGGGATAAAGGGATCGGAAAAGGAGGTGGGGGTTAATGCATTTTTTTAAAAAATGGATAGGGGGCTAATGGGGAATAAGAAGGTGATGAGGGGGTGATTAAAAGATCAATATGATCCCACAGAATACAACATGGGAGCAGCAGCATCAGCACGTATGCACACTGTGCCGGATAGTTCAGGCACACGTTAAAGTTAAAGTTAAAAAAAAAAAAAAAAAAAAACCCTAAACAATGCCTTAACGTATATGCTTTCAACTGCACTGACAGCAACCACATTGACAAACAGCACCTACTGCTCCTATTACAAAACAAAACACAAAGACAGTCAAGAGAAACTAAACAAACACAAATGTGCAGACTCTGTGGCTGCACAGCTTTCTGGGAACTTTCTATGAGTCTTTACTTAAAAGTAGGGATGTCCGATATTAAACCTTTTGCCAATATCTAATATGGCGATATTGTCCAAACACTTAATTTCCGGAGAAACTGGGTTGAGTAAACAAGTTTAGAACGAGTTATTGCAATTGTGTTTCAATAAAAGTTCTTCAGAGCACTGGAGGCATCTGACTGCTCTGTTGCCGGGCATTGCACTTAAGGTGTCAAATTAACGTGTTAATTGCGATTAATTAATTACAGACACATTTAGCACGTTATGTTTTTTAATTGCGTTAATCTAATTTTTAACCTCTAGCTTTACTGTTGCTGTATGTGAGTTGCATTTTTTAGAAAAAAAAGGAGGAGCTTGTGACAGTTGTCCGCCGGGCGTACACTGTACGATTTTTTAAAATCTTGTCGTTGATACCATCACACACTGTACGAGTGATGTACGGACAAAGCTCACGATTTATGTACTCACACTGTACAGTCAGATCATCGAACACGACCAGAGAGCTCACACTGTGCGGGTGAAAACGGCTCGTCGTGCTGACTGTCCTGTCTGTTGACAGCTGTGGACATTGCGGACAGTGCCACAGCTCTATCAATCTCGCCTCCATATTTTCATGCCACTGACGTACAGTCATGGTTACTATCACAAAAATCGGGTCAAAAATGGGCTAAAATCGTACAGTGTATGCCCGCCCTTAGCGAGTCACAGCAAAGCTCTTTGCCAAACTAAACTTGAGGAGAACACCCCGCGTATGAGCAAGTCTGTGACCGACAGGCCTGCGAATGGCCTAGCCAAGTGGATAGCGATGAACTGTTTATCATTTGGCGGTCGGCCGATATTATCGTACATCCCTACTCAAAAGAGATTGGCAATCAATGTGCTGCATGCTGAAATACTGTGACGTTGTCCTGGTTGCCTGCCCCTAAACCCCAGTACTGCGGCCTGGCTCAAACTCCACCAGCTGAGCAGGAGTTTGCTCCAGGCTGACCTCTCATGGTCGCTTTTGGCACTGCAGGCAACACAAATAGTTCATGAAATCCCTTGTAGCTTGAGATGAGGCTTCTTCAGAAGATGTTTTTTGTTTGCCCCCCCACCCCATCCCTGGATTTGTCTTTCTTTTGTTCTTATCCTTCTTCTCCATTTTTCTTGATGTGTCCCAGAAAAGATAGCAAAATGACAGTAAACAACGACAAAAAAAAGCCAAAAGCACTTCATGTCATGTAGCGAGTGATCGCTCTCAGAGCGTATAAAAGTTCTGCCTGCATACGCGCTTCCATAAGAAGCAGATTAACGTGGACCTGCAGAAAACAGAAAGAGAGACATGAGTTAGTAATTAGTTTTAGTTGAAAAGACAGTAAAAAAAAAATACAATTGAACAATATGCAACTGAAAACTTCAACCGGCGTCACCTCACCTTCTCAGAGTGCTGAAACTGCCTCCAGAAACTCTCATACATTCGTTTGGTGGTTTTCTCAGGACTACACACCATGGTCTTGATGTAGATCTTAAAGCTGCGGTCGAGGAGCTGGTTTATCTCCCCGTAGTCGTAGTCGTCATACCTGAGTGTGACAGAAAAACACAGCTGTGACCACAATGTCGAAGACGAGGATGTAAGAAAACCTGCCTCGGCTTTGACTCTGAGCTGCCGCTCACCTGATCCCGAACATGCAGTGAATGTAGTTCCAGATGGCTCTGCGCAGCATACTGGTGTCCACATCCTTGTGCGTTGCCATGGTGTTGTAGGTCAGGTTGTAGGCCATCTGGAACTTCTCGTCCAGCATCTGACCAACATCGGGATACAGTCGGTTGACCAGAGAGAAGCCATGATCCTCCCAGCTATAATCCTAGAGAACAGTTTAAAAGAATGAGTTCCTGATTGTAAAACAATGTATTCACAGCCTTTGGACAGACAGACTGTAAGACAAACCTGTGCTCTGAAGGTGGGCACATGCTCCCCTCTCCTTGAGAAGTCTTTGTAGCCGTAGCTGGGGTCCTCAAAATGTCGGGAGATGTCTCTCGAGGGAACGCACTCGTCCTCCTCCGCTGAGACCACCAGCATGCTCTCTGTCTTCTCTCTCTCAAAGCGTGTGGCCATCTCCTCCTGACTGGCCTCCTCATCGTCACGGCACTCCTGCAGCTGCTTCATCCGCTCCATCAGCACCTCCACCTCACCACAAACCTCCTACAGAAACAAACATGTTGTTTAATTTTTGTCCACCGAAGTTGGTGGTTTTAAAATATATTCAACTCTTAGACTGGATCATTCATAATGCAGTAATAGCAGAAGAACAAACTAGATATCATATGTTCACAAACAATTCATACATACTTGATCCTTAAATTTCACTGAAAAGGTCACGTCAGGAACCTGGTCTAACAACAAGCACTCACCTGGTTTCTGAGCAGATCATCGTGGTGATTCAGATGACCGTTGCCATTAGCGATGTCACAAACACAGTAGTGACTCAGGGAGGGGGGTCTGAAGGTGTGTCCGCCGTCACACTGAATCTCAGGCATGATGCCGCAGCCAAATGTGAAGGAGGCGAGGGAGTGGTAGTGTGTGAGGAGGACCACGGCATGGATTAGCTCCGCCAGAGACCAGCTGTGCTCCTCGGCTTTTAGAAGTTGCTGGAAAAAAAGATGGAAAAGGAAAAATTAGCAAGTGATGCTGACCAGAGCCAAACGATGACTTCAATTACGGTATGTTGTCATTCTCAACCAGTGGAAAATTGACAATGATGACAATTATGTTGTCATTCTCAACCAGTGGAAAAATATGTTTTCTATTTCAAATTTAAATTATTATCTCTTTGTTTTTGTCTGTCATGAAACATCTAAATCGCACCGCTGCAGACATATCTCAACCTCTGATCTCAGTTTGTTACATAAGACTTGTGACCTGTTGTTACATACAGTTTGTTACATAAGACTTGTGACCTGTCTCTCACCTCGATGTGTTCCTTGGTGAGCAGCCACGGTCTGTGGGCCAGGATTTTGTTGAGTTCTCCGAGCTGCTGTAGCTTCTGTGGTGCTTCATCCAGGCCTTTCAGCCACTTCAGATCTCCTCCCACCTGGAGGAAGTCATTCACATGCAGGTTGACCAGATGCGAACACTGATGCCTAGCTGCCGCCTGCATGATCAGGGGGAGAGGAAAGAGTTAACCATTAAGTACTTTACAGTCGACCTCACAGTTCATTTCAAAATTCACTGAGGCTGGATAGGGCCACACCATGATGCCGATGTAGTGCCGGTAGTGCAAAGGTAGGGGTCCGTCCATCTGCAGCAGGTAGTGCTGTGTCCGGAGGAAACTCTCCAGGTACTGTGGGTGGAAGCCCATAACCAGGGAAATGTTGTCCAGGCGACCGAGGGCTGAAAACGCATCCTCAAATATTGACTGTGTTCTGGCGTCCACTTTACTGACTTGAAGGATCTAAAAATAAAAAAGTAAGAGCACACGTCAAGCACAGCGTTTACGACGAAACAGGGGTCTCTGTGGGGAGATCTGTATGAAGCAGTATTTATTTTCTGTACTGTGTGTTTATTTACTCTGCTACTGTACCTCTTTTTCTGGGATAAATCTGCTTGGTCCGTTTCCCAAAGGTCTTGGAATCCTTACTCCAGAATTCTGCAGAACAAAAAAGGAGAAATGTGTGGTCTTTAAATACACACTCAAGGTTTTTGGTCTTCACTCTTATAGTAGAGCTGCAATAATCAGTCAAGTCAATGACCAATAAACACCCAGAATGATCGGCAACTATCATTTCAAAAAGTGTAAGGTTTAAAAAAGAAAAATTTCTTAAAGTCTGGTTTCTTTGATATCTCTGGCAGTAAACAGAATCAATTTTAGTTTGAGAACATTGTCATTTGTAATTTGTTTATACATTACATTACAATTACCAGAGTCCCTGCTGGTTTTACTTGTTTATTACCATGACATCTACCTCATTATGGTTCCATTTTAAAGTCTCTTCAACTTTTAAAGGGACTCTTGTTGAGCTGTTCCTACTTGGATAAATGGTCTTAAAGGAGAAATGTCAGTTAGTGCAACACTAAGGATATTCTATTGTAATAATAAAATAATAAAGTAGAATATTGTACGAAATTATTATTATTTTAAATCCTTGAAAAGTTTAGATTTTTTTATGCACTACATACAAATTGATACATGTCCGTACGTGCAGTGAATGAGAAGTGTATGAAACAGGGACATGACACAGTCAAACCAAATGACAAGAAAGTAAATGGCTAAAAAAAAAAAAAACATTGCATTCATACTGTGATGTCCTTTAACTTTGCGCAACTTGTTGGAACATGTCTCCTGGTGGACAATGTCCCACTGCGCAACAATGACGAATGAATGACCGAGACCAGTCTCTGCGGCTTGTTTTTGTGTAAATTCTATGTAAGTTCTGTAATGACACTGAGTGTAGTGCGTCCATTTAAACATGTCACTCGATCGTGGACTGAATGGAAAATATCCTTTAAAAAAAATTCAGAGAAATTGCCAGCGGAGACCCCAAACTGTCCTCAGTCTGGTAAACAAGTCTGGACAAAGACTCTGCACTGCAGCCCGTTGGTTCACAGCCGCAGAAAAACAACGTCGCCTCAATATAACGACGATGTGACACACTAACCAAAAGACAGGCGCTTTTACAGAAACGTGCGTTTGCATTTTAAATACAGTTTAATTTCACTGTTTTTCTCCTACCTTTTTGCTGAGCCGTTGACAATGGGTGCACATCTTTAACAAGCCTGTCACCGCATAAGAGTTATTTTCCACGGTCTGCGCCGGTGCCACTGCGTGCCTCATGTCTTCCCCTCGTCTTAAAGGGTTTATTTGAAAACTGTTTAATTCTTATTAAAGTGTCTCCCCGGTGGCCGTGTCTTCTCTTTGTTCCTTGAGGCACTGGCTAAAGTGCTCAGTAGTCAGCTGTTGCAGCCCCTACAGCAGAATACCAGCCCCCTTCCTCATACATTCGGTAAATAAGTGCAGTCCCGCGAGAGTGACGTGCGCAGCAGCCAATGGCGTGGTTAAAACTGCAGACCGACGACCAATGGTGGAGAAGGGGAGCACGTGTGGGCGGGGTTTACAGTGCAGAGGAAGGGGGTGAAAAACGTGAGCAAAGAGAACAATCAGACCCTCCAAGAAAAACATAATCACTTCTCTCTTCTTCTTTGTTTCCCTGCTCTGACATTGATCATGACTTATTGACTGTTGTGATTAACACAGGGAAGTGAAGGCAGGCAATTGATACTCATCAGGGCCTTCATCAATTCATTGATGAACTCAACCTTTCTAGATTTCATATCTAGAAAGGTTGAGTTTGAATGAATTTCCTACAATAAATACAGCATTGAATTATTAAAAAATAATTCCCTCTGTCGTTTTTATTCAGCCATTGGCAGTGTATGTTGTGTGTTTACCCCCAGCCTGATGACAGAGCTATTTTGGACTGTGTACCTTGTTTGCAAGACTGTGTACCTTGTTTGCAAGACAAATGAAGAAAAAAACCTATAGCAATAAAGAACCCATGATTACCTATTAAATGTATACTTTTTCGATTTAGTTTTATATTAAACCACAATAAAACAATGTCCTCTCTGTTTAAGAAAAAGTAAGATGTCTAAGTAAAATGTCTGTGTACTGTACTCGGACATTAGTAGTTATGTAGGTATGTATAACTTCATGCAGCTGTAACATAAATAGTAATAGACATGACAGACATTCAAGCAGCAAGAAAGTGAGGGGAAATTAAACATGTTTGTCTGAGATCAACATGTCCATCAGTGCTTTCCTTGAAAGCAGCAACAAAGCCAGCCAGAACCCAGCTCCAGCATGCAGCTGCACGCCCTCCACCCCAGATCACCCCCCCCCCCTCCTTGGCAAGGGGTAGACAGAAGGTATGGGTCCTCTGTGCATGAGATGGATTGCTGTAGGACCTGCTGCAACAACAACAGCTCTTCAGTTAGTGGTTTTGCACCACAGCCTATGAGGCCGCAGATAATGGCATTCCTCCACCAATCAGCTGGCGCTGGAGGAGTGCTTTAAAAGCCAAGAGGAAACAGAGATAAGGAAAGCAGATCTTATGGCTTTGTTTGTCCCTGCTTTGACAGGGACAAGAACAGGCACTGGAACAGTAAATACCTGTTTTATCACGATGCTGTGGTTAGAAAGTCAATAATTACTTGGAATTATTTCAGACGAGATTTACAGTGAACAATCTAATGTGCATTTTAAATTATTTCTTTTTTAAATATTCCTTTTATTATAAGAACCTTTATTCAAGGTTTACTTGTTTGATAAACAAAAATGTTTTTATTTGAAAGCACATGTGTTTTGCTACAATATTTACTCAGTCATAAACCACACTACAAAAGCATCAACATATTGGCCAGCGTGTGTCCACACATGTATCTGTGTATCGTGCTTCTTTGTGAGATGTCAAAATAGCATATTTCACAAGCATAAATTCCACAAAGAGTGGTTTTAGTGCATAAAAGGAGCAAAACAGCTTTGAAAACAACAAAAAACAATCAGTGCATTCATTAATCAGTGTGAGTCTGATGATGGCAATTAGAATGAAACCCAGGCAAACCACAGTCCCATTTCTGATTAATTTTATCCTTACTGCCCAAAAATTTCTGCAAGATACTCAAAAAACAACAGTAATTTAAAACTCTAATAAAATTAGTAATTTAAATAACAAAAGGATTAGGAATTGACAAGAAGATAACTAGCTAGCTTGGATTAGGCCAAAGGATGGCTTCAAAAGCTACATCATAAACATGTTTACCTGGATCATTGTACGCTCTGTTCCAAATGTATTTTCTGGCAAGATGGCAAGCTTAGAATATTAGCTACGAAATGGGACAATCCCTTGAAATGTATTAAATAAACAGAAGCCGCTGATGGCTTAGATGTGAGGAGAGGTGAGATGTGGTAAATGGCTCTGATAAACAGATGTTAAAAATACACCAGAACACTGTAAGCACACTCCTCTGTTTTTAGGTTCTGGAAACCAAGAGATAGACAACAGATGATTGACATGATTCATCCAAAACAAAAATTTGGCAACTGTCTTTAACTCCTCAATAATGATCGCCTGATATAGTGATGCTCAGCAGGATGTTGCCTCCAACCAATCAACCTCCACACCCACATCCTCCTACCCCACCATCCCCACACAACCCCTACATAAGGCCTTCTGCTGATGCCACAGACTAGGATGTGGGGCAGTGATAAACAAGTTCCCATGACTGGGGTCAGCACTCCATTGGGCTGCCAGGATCCCCATGGCTCAGCAACGCTGCAGAAGTGGCTAGTCAGCTTTAGGGATTACGACACACCAAACCTTTTCACGTAAAATCGCTTAGGCTCGGAGGGTCAAGGCTATTGTCAGTGAGCGATGGCATTGACTAATGCCATCGCTCACTGCGACTTTGTGCCACAGCCTTGGCAGTGCCCAATCAGGTATCATGCATGTTACCTTTAGTGTGCCTTTGCACTGGCCTGTATTTTGTTAGGGTATCTACGTAACGGTTATTACATAGTTAAGACTAACTAGGCCCAGAACAGAGCTTTGCTGAAGGAACACTCAACAATTTGACTTTGCTCTTTACTGCACACAGTATAATGCTCATGGCAGCTTACACGTAAAAGTTAAAACTCCGTGTTTTAAAGCTACTTTTAACCATGACTTGCATGAGTATTTTTGAGACGGTGAGTTACTTCTAACACAAAAACCACAAAAACCTATTTATGTTCAGTTGCCCTTCTGTTACTGTGTCCTAAAAGCCTTTATAGGAGTCCTCAGCCTTAGCTTGGAAACCACAGCTGTAAAGTTTCAAGAACACTCAAACATTCTGTGACTTGAATAGGTGCTGCAGGTGTCCCTGAAAAAACACTACGTTTTAAAACCAACAGTCTTGCGTCTACCTACGGGGATTGCCACAACTCATTTTTTGTCTCCAATCAACTTAAGGTCTCCTACATTTGAACACAATCAAACCCTCTCCTGGATCTTAAAAGTATAGTCGTCACTATAATAAAGGGGACAACAGTGAAGATATATTTGGGTTGGAATAACACTTGTTTGCATTGTTTAACCAAAAAAACATGTAATACTTTGTCACCAAGTCACCGTCTCAGCTCCAGGAAGGTTCAAAATGCAGATGCCTTTTTCCTGGCTTGTAGCTCAGTGTGATTCAGACTAAAATTATAGCAATAAAGTCAGAAACGACAGAGAAAAAACAATTTTGCCAAGAGTCATTTTATGTTCCATGATACCAAACAGATACTGCAGTATACAAACAACAGCGGATACCTTTTTGAAAAGCAGTATATTTTCTCCTATGGGTGTGGAACAATATAAGAAAAACACCCCTAAGCCAATAAAAGAGGTCAGTAACAGTTAATAAGATAAAAAACAAACTGAGAGGAAGCCATGGCAGGCGAAAGCTCTGCACATGTGTTGCGGCTGCTGTGTTATTTCATGCACCAAGACATGACAGAACCACAGAAAGTGTGGGGATGTTCAACAAGTGGCACAAGTCCACCAGACCAGTTCAAACCTGACCTATCAGGGCACGGCGTAGAGGAAGCAGAAAACTCTCCTTCACTGACAC